GGGAGGAGGAAAGGGGGAAGGAGGGGGGGAGGGAGGAGGAGGGAGGAGGAGGAAGAGGAGGGAGGAAAGGAGGAGGGAGGGGAGGGAGGAAAGGGGGGAGGAGGAGGGGAAGAGGGGGGAGGAGGAAGGAGGAGGAGGGGGGAGGGAAAGAAGGAGGGAAGGGGGAGGGGAGGAGGAGGAAAAAATTGGAGGGGAGGAGGGGGGAGGAGGGGGGAGGGGGAGGGGAGGAGGAGGGGGAGGGAGGGAGGGGGAGGAGGAGGAGGAGGAATGAGGAGGAGGGAAAGGGGGGAGGGGGGAGGGAGGAGGATGAGGGGGGAGGGATGAGGGGAGGGGGGAGGAGGAGGGGGAGGGGGGGGAGGGAGGAGGAGGAGGGAGGAAAGGGGGATGGAGGAAAGGGGGATGGAGGAAGAGGGGGAGGAAAAAGGAGGAGGAGGAAGGGAGGAAGAGGGGGGAGGGGGAAGGAGGAGGAAGAGGAGGAGGAAGGAGTTGGAGGAAGGAAAAAAGGGGGGAAGGAGGAGGGGGAGGAGAAGGGGGGGAGGAGGGGGGGAGGGGGGGAGGAGGGGAGGGCGAAAGGGGGAGGAAGGGGGAGGAGGAAGGAGGAGGAGGAGGAAGGAGGAGGGGGGAAGGGGGGAGGAGGAGGAAGGAGGGGGGAGGAAGGAGGAGGAAGGAGGAGGAGGGAAAGGGGGAGGAGGAAGGAGGGGAGGAAGGAGGGGAAAAGGGGGAAGGGGAGGAGGAGGGGGAGGAGGAGGGGGGGAGGAGGAAAAGGAGGAGGAAAGGGGGGGGAGGAGGGGGAGGAGGGGGGAGGGGAGGAGGAAAGGGGGAGGAAAAAGGAGGAAGAGGAGGAGGTGGAAAAGGGGAAGAAAAGGAAGGAGGAATGAGGAAGGAGGAGAGAGGAGGGGAAAAGGGGGGAGGGGAAAGGGGGGGAGGGGAGTGAAGAGGAGGAGGGGGGGAGGAGGAGGGAGGAGGAGGGGGGAAAGGGAAAGGAAAGGGGGAGGAGGGGAGGGGAGGGGGAGGGGGAGGAGGATGAGGGGGGGGAGGAGGAGGAGGAAGAAGGGGAAAAGGAGGAGGGGGGGGGGAGGAGGAGGAAAAGGGGAAAAGGGGGGAGGACGAGGAGGGAAAGGGGGGAGGAAAAGAACAAGGAAAGGGGGAGGAAAAACAAGGAGGGAGGAGGAGGACAAGGAAGGGGGGGGAGGGGACAAGGGGGGGGAGGAGGAGGAAAGGAGGGGGGGGGAAAAGGGGGACCCAAAAAGGGGGGAGAACGAGGAGGGAGGGGGACAAGGAAAGGAAAAAAAACCCGGGAGCAAACGGCGGCAGCAGCGCCGGGCCCGCGGCGGCCCCGGGAGCACGGGGGCAATAGCAGCGCAGCAGCAGTGGCCCCGCAGCATTTGGGGCAGCAAAAGCCCGCAAATGGCTTCAGCAACAGCAAGCAGCAGTAGCAGCAGCAAAAACCAGCAAAAACAACAAAGCAGCAGCAGCAGCAGCCAGCGAACAAAAGGCCGCAAAAGCAGCAAACGCAACAGCAGCAGCAGCAGGGAAGCCCAAAAGCCCAAAAGCCCCAGCAACCCGCAGCGAAACGCGGGAACAAACAACAAACAGCAACAGCCCGCAAAAAACAGCAGCAGCGCAGCAGCAAAACCCGCAACAACCCCCAAACCCCAACCCGCAACAGCAGCAGCGCAACATCGTGGCTGCAGAAAAAGCGAAACAAACAAACTGCAGCAGCAACAGCGCAGGAAAAAGCAGCAAAAAGCAACAGCAGAAAAGCGCGCAGCAACAACAGCAAACCGCAACAACGCAGCCCGCAGCAACGAAGCAGCGCAGCAGCAAAAAGCAGCAACAGCGCAACAGCCCGCAGCAGCAAACAGGGAGCAAGCAACAACACAGCAGCAGCAACAGCGCAAAGCAACAGCAGCAACAGCCCGGGAGCAGGGAGCAAAAAGCTGCAACAGCAAACAACGCAGCAGCAGCCCCCGGGAACAACGGCCCGCAAACGCAACAGCACCAGCAACCGCGCAACAGCAGCCGCAACGGCCCGCAGCAAAAAGCCGCAGCAGGGAGAGCGCAGCAGCAAACAACAACGCAGCAGCAGCAACGCAGCAGCAGCAGGCCCAAAAACAAACAGCCCGCGCGCAGAAACAGCAGGCAAACGCAGCAAAAAGCAACCCAAACCGCCAAGCCTCCCCCCCCCCCCCAACCCCACCCCGCCCCAACCCCCCCCCCCCCCCAACCCCCCCCAACCCCCCCCCCACCCCGCCCCCCAAAACCCCCCCCTCCCCCCAACCCCCCCACCCCCCCAACCCCAAACAGCCCCAACCCCCGCCCCCCCCCCCCCCCCCAGCAACAGCAGCCCGAAACAGCAACAGCAGCAGCAGCAACAGCAGAAGCAACCCGCAGCAGCAGCAACGCAGCAGCAACAACAGCAGCAACAAGGGAGCGGCAACAGCAGCAAACAGGGAGCCCGCAACAACAGCAGCAGCAGGGAAAAAGCAGCAAGAAGACCCGCGGCAAACCCCAACAGCAGCAAACCCGCAAACCCGAGCAGCGCAGCTGCAAACAGCAGCAAAACAGCAGGGAACAGCAGCAGCACCAAAAAAACAACAGCAGCAGCAAACAACAGCAGCAGCCCCGCAAAAAGCAGCAACAGGGGAAACCCCCGCAAAACCGGGAAAACAGCAACAGCAAGCAGCAACAGGCAACAGCAGCAAAAAACAGCAACAACAGCCCAAACAGCAACAGCAACAGCGCAACACAGCAAACAGCAGCAACGCAGAGCCCGCAACAAAAAAAAAAAGCAACAGCAGCAAAAAAAACAGCAAAAAGGGAGCACAGCAACAGCAGCCCCCGCAGCAAACAATAAACAGCAACAACAGCAGCCAAAAAACAGCGAGCATGCAAAACAGAAGCCTTGCACAACAACAGCAGCCCGCAGCAGCCAAACGCAGCAACAGCCAAAAAGCAACAGCAGCAAGCAAAACAGCAGCAGCAACCCCGCAAAAGCCCGCAGGCAACAGCAGCAGCACAGCAGCAGCAAAAGCAACAGCAGCAGCAACGCAGCAGCCGGGAAAAGCGCAGCAACAGCAGCAGCAACAGCAGAACAGGAAACAAAAAGCAGCAGCAGCAGCACGCAGCAACAGCAGCAAACAGCCCGCAGCAGCAGCAGCAACAGCAGCAGCGCAACAACACAGCAAAAAAAAGAAACAACAGCAGCAGCAGCAGCAACAACAGCAACAGGGAGCAGCAACAGCAACAGCAGCAGGGCCCCGCAACAGCGCAAAAAACAAACAGGGAGCAAACAACAAAAAAACAGCAAGCCAGAACGCAACAGCGCAGCAGGCAAACAAAAACAGCAGCAGCAGCAACAGGGAGCAAACAGCAGAACAGCGCAGCAGAAAACAGGGAACAAAAAAAAAGACCCCGCAGAACAGCAAAGCCAGCCCAAAAACAGCAGCAACAGCAGGGAGCAGCAACAGCAGCAGCAACAACAGCAACAGCAGCAGCAACAGCAACACAGGGAGCGCAACAACAACCCGCAGCAGCAGCTACAGCAGCAAACAAAACAGCCAGCAGCACCCAAAACCCCCAAAAACGGCCCGCAGCAGCAGCAGCAAAAAACAAACAAACCCCGCACAGCAAACAACAACAGCAACAGCAGCAGCGCAGCCAACAGCAACAGCAGGGAGCGCAACAGCAACAGCAGCAGCAGCAAAAAACAAACAAACAGCAAACAGGCCCGCAGCAACAGGGAAAAAGCAGCAGCAACGCAGCAAAAGCAGCAACAACAGCAACAGCAGCAGCAGCAGCAGCAACAACAGCAAAAGCAGCAGCAACAGCAGCAAAAACAGCAAAAAGCAGCGGGAGCAAACAACAGCAAACAGCAAGCAAAAACAGTAGGAAATGTTTTACATTTCCAGCCATGACTATTAGGGATGGCGACTTAATAAAATTTTTTTGTGGATCTTCACCAGCCATTAAGTGTTGATATTTTCATATTTGATACCCGCCTTTTTTACTCTTTACATATCACTTTTGTGTGGGTTCAGCCATAGTTTGATATTTCAATACTTTTTGCCCTAGCACACCCACCATACCTAAAACCCCTTTTTTTTTTTTTTTTTTAAAAAAAACTGGCTGTCTCCTACTGAGGAAAGCGACCCAAAAAAAAAAATTTTTTTCCATCATTCATTTTTATCATGTTTGCCTGATGGTTTCAGGTAAAAACATTTCAAATGTTTCCCCTTTAAACAGGGAAAAAATCTCTGGCTTTCCCTTTTGAGTGCAAAAACCCGTACTCTTCCAACTCCAGGGCTCAAATTTCCCGCTAAAAATGGTTTCCCCGAAACTCCCTTTAAAAAAACATTACGTGCTTTCCCCTCCAACAGTTGGCAGGTCCCCCAAAAAAAATTTTTTCCCTTTCCCTTTTAATGCGGCCCGCTGTAGCCCAGGCCCCTTGAACAAAAAAAAACCTTCCTTTTCCCCCCCCCCACCCCCCCCTTTCCCAGGATGACCCCTAAACCCCCCCTCCCCCCACTACGATTTATACAAACCCCCCAAGTCATCCTATTTTGCCCCCTCCCCCCCAAACACTAAAAACCCCCTCAACACCACTCAACCTGTTATATTTGTTTTATTTACATTACTTTGGTAATGTTTCGTAACTTTAATAGCACATCGGCCTAGTTATCCCTTCACAAAATAATACCCCGGTCGCATTTCAACAGCTCGTCAGGTCCCAAAAACCACCTGTCTCCATTCATTCCTATCTAACACAATCACGCACACTTGCTGAAAGTCCAAGCCCCTCACTCACAAAACCTCCTTTACCCCCTCTCCCTCCTAAATGTAAAAAGAAAAGGGGAAGTTTTTCTTTTACATTTAGTAATTTACACAGAAGAGATTACTAGCCCCTTGTTCTTGTCATTTTAGTCACGTCTTACGACAAACATGGCTTACAGAGGAAAGATTCTTCTGAACTTCCCCGGGAGTATGAATCAAATATTCACCTTATTTTCAGCATCCTTTGCTTCTGATTTGAGTTTTGAAAGTTTATGATCAAGCTGTTTGATTTCTAACTGGGCTTCGTCGCTGCTCTTGGTGATCTGTTCCTTACGTGCAGACATAGCATTAATTTCCTTGTTCTGTGTACTTATCATCTCCTTCTGTTTCTTTACGGCTGCCTGAGCTGCAGTCACCTCATCCTGTAAAACTTGTCTTTTAAAACATGCCAAAAACTTCTTTTAATCTGAAGTATTTCAGGAATTACTTGATTTCTATATTTTTTTTTGTTAGCATACCAGGAGTCTCCCACCAAGGAAGGGCGACTCAAAAAAGAAAACCTTATAAAGCTTTTCTTCTTTTTACATTTAGTAATCTACACAGGAGAGGGGGTTACTAGCCCCTTTTACCTGGTATTTTTGCATAAATATTAGAACTGAACACAAGTACTGTGATTATTTACAAGTCACTGATGAAAATTTTGGGTTTCTTCTTGCCTTTAATGTCTGAGGTTCAAAGTATATAAAGTTTACAAAGCACATAATAGGATCAATGAATAAAATGCATAGTAAAGTGAAATGCATGAATTTTGTAAATGTGTATTAAGGTCTACTCTAAATTTTGGAGCCAAGCAATTGTGCTCTAAAGTAGAAAATGCTTAGGACCAACCTTTCCCTTAGCAACTTCCTCTTCCAGAGTCTTCATCTGTACCTGGTACTGCTCAAACACTTCAATAGATGTAGCAATCTGAGCCTTGGTTGTCTCAATGCTTCCTTCCAGTTCACAAACTTCCAGCTTTAAACTTTCTTCTTCCTGTGAATCCCAAAGTATCAGCATTAGCCTATCAATATATCTTTTTTACACAATGGCCATCTCCCACTGAGGCAGGTTGACCCAAAAGAGAAAAAAATTTATCAAGTTTTTTCTTCTTTCTACAATTAGTAATTTATATAGAAGGGGTTACTAGCCCCTTGCTCCTGGCATTTTAATTGCCTCTTATGACCCTAATGGCTTATGGAGGAAGGATTCTTCTCCACTTTCCCATGGAGATCTATCAATACTTGCACTCTTATATTTGGTCTAAGAATACTTTTAAAGAGGGACTATGTAGATTATCTGCAAAAAGTGACACCAAGTGGTTCCATGGAAAAGATAATACTACAGTGGTACCTCGATTTTCGGCCATAATTCGTTCCAGAAGGCTGTTTGAGTGCCGTTACCGAACGAATCTGTTCCCATAAGGAATAATGTAAATTAGATTAGTCCATTTCAGACCCCTAAAAATACACTTACGAAAGCACTTACAATAATACACTTACATAACTGTTCGAGTTGGGAGCTGTACAAAACTAGGGGTACCACTGTATTTCCAACTGATATGTAACTGAAGGAGGAGTAGGGATCAACCTGGAGATTGTTCTCCCCACTGAGGAAAGTTTTTTTTTTTTAACAAGTCGGCCATCTCCCACCGAGGCAGGGTGACCCAAAAAAAGAAAGAAAATCCCCAAAAAGAAAATACTTTCATCATTCAACACTTTCACCTCACTCACACATAATCACTGTTTTTGCAGAGGTGCTCAGAACACAACAGTTTAGAAGCATATACAGTGGACCCCCGGTTAACGATATTTTTTCACTCCATAAGTATGTTCAGGTGCCAGTACTGACCGAATTTATTCCCATAAGGAATATTGTGAAGTAGATTAGTCCATTTCAGACCCCCAAACATACACGTACAAACGCACTTACATAATTGGTCGCATTCGGAGGTAATCGTTATGCGGGGGTCCACTGTACGTATAAAGATACACAACATATCCCTCCAAACTGCTAATATCCCGAACCCCTCCTTTAGAGTGCAGGCATTGTACTTCCCATTTCTTTTTACATTTAGTAATTTATATAGGAGAATGGGTTACCAGTCCCTTGATCTGGGCATTTTAGTCGCCTCTTTCAACAAGCAGGGCTTATGGAGGAAAGATTCCTGAAGAGGAGATGAAAGGAAACATGAACAAGAACTGTTAAGGAAATGGAAGAAAACTCAGATCTTTCTTTCTTTCAACGCACCAGCCGTATCCCACTGAGGTGGGGTGGCCCACCGAGGCGGGGGTGGCTCACTGAAGTAGGGTGGCCCAAAAGGAAAAACAAAAGTTTCTCCTTTTAAATTTAGTAATATATACAGGAGAAGGGGTTACTAGCCCCTTGCTCCCGGCATTTTAGTCGCCTCCTACGACACGCATAGCTTACGGAGGAAGAATTCTGTTCCACTTCCCCATGGAAATAAGAGGAAATAAACAAGAACAAGAACTAGAAAGAATATAGAAGAAAACCCAGAGGGGTATGGATATATACGCTTGTACATGTATGTACATGTATTCTGAGCACCTCTGCAAAAGCAGTGATAATGTGTGAGTGTGGTGAAAGTGTTGAATGATGATGAAAGTATTTTCTTTTTGGGGATTTTCTTTCTTTTTTTTGGGTCACCCTGCCTCGGTGGGAGACGACCGACTTGATGAAAAAAAAAAAAAAAAAAAAACATGTATGTGTAGTGTGACCTAAGTTTAAGTAGAAGTAGCAAGACGTACCTGAAATCTTGCATGTTCATGATACAGAAAAAAGGACACCAGCAATCCTACCATCATGTAAAACAATTACAGGCTTTTGTTTTACACTCACTTGACAGGACGGTAGTACCTCCCTGGGCGGCTGCTGTCTACCAACCTACTACCTAGGAAAACTCAGATGTGTGTATAAATATATATGTAGAACAACCACTGTGAAAAAACAGTGAACTTCCAAGTGGTTCTGCGATTTCTCACATTATTAAGGAACTGTGAGAAATCACGAAAGCACTTGGAAGCTCACTAGTCTTTCACAGTGGTTGTTCTGCATATTGTGATATCACATGTTAACTGTGATTTTATTGCAAACATACACGTGTACTCATTTTTAAATATAAAACATACCTGCTTTTTAAGGTTCCATTTAATTCTTGTCTCTTCTGCTACCTTTTTGCATCTCTCCAGTTCTACATTAGCTGCCTTCAGCTCATTTTCTTTCAGTGCTTTTGAGTTCTTTATTTTATTTTCAATATCCTTTACTTTTGCTACTCCCTCAACATGAACCTTTTTACACTGTTCGAGTGTAGCCACGCATTCCTCTGTTAAATAATAAAATTAAATCTATGAGAAAATATATATTATTATTATTATTATTATTATTATTATTATTACATATAATGTGAATGCTAAGCCCATAGGGGACTTACATGTGCCAGGAGAATGGAAAAATAACCAAATTTAATTCAAAGAAGTGTGGCTCCAATTCCATGAGTCAAGAGCTCTTAAGGGTCATAAAACATAGAATCCCTTGTACAGGAGAACCTTGTTTATACAGCAGGTTAGGTTCCAGGCAACTGCTGTCAAGCAAAAGTCGCTGCAAAGTAAATCGGTACATTTTTTTTCACTTTCAAAGGCATATAAAATCCGGCAGCAAGTCCACACTATCATATATTAAGTGAGCAATGTAGCTAGGTAGGCCTAAGAAATGCATATACAGTACACACATTACTTACCTTAAAATATTTTCATCCTTGGCTTATAGTGAGTAGTGAATATATTTACTGTAGGAAGTCAGAATTAATGAAGAACGGGTATAGTTGAAAACTGCTGCATTAGCAAAGCACTGTAAAGTGGAGTCCACCTGTACAATGAGTGCTGTCACAGACAGCAAAATGTGGAGCATTTGTCATTACGTATAGTGGTCCGTTGAGTTATGATGGGCTTGAGTTATGATTTTCCCTCATAAAGAAATTTAGTTTGGAGTTGCAATGAAAAATTGAGATACAATATGCGTACACGAGTAGGTGAGCTTCAGTCAACCATCAATGCTAGGTAGCTTGCCTTCTGAGCAGCGCCTGAGCCAACAGGAGCATCGGCACACTTTCGGCAAGAGAGTAAGTGACTGAATGATGATGAATGCGTTGTCTTTTTTGCCTAATCTTGCCTTGGCAAGAGATGGCAACTGAGGAAAACAAAAATATACATGTACATTGTTTGTCTTACTCTAAGATATATGGTGAATATCTCACAAGATATATAATGCATTTGGGACTGCACCATCACATATGTCTGCTTCATTCTTGAATTAATAAACTATTAAGATATAAAATTTTGAGACATGCAAAATAAAGGAGGGGTGGAGATATGTTGCAGTGTTTGAACTGCAGTATTGGCAGGCTTCTGGCAGGACAGTGATGGAGTGAGTGATGACGAAAGTGTTCCTTCTCTTTTGGGTCACCCTGCCTCGGTGGGAAACGGCCAATGTGTAAAAAAAATATAATTAACCAAAGAACAAGACAGATTTTGGATGTGATCAGACAATTGGACTCATGAGTTGAACCCGAATAAATGAAAGGTCGTGCAATCAGGAGGTAAGGGCAGAGTTGAACCCGAATAAATGAAAGGTCGTGCAATCAGGAGGTAAGGGCAGAGTTGAACCCGAATAAATGAAAGGTCGTGCAATCAGGAGGTCAGGGCAGACTGGACAGAGTACATTATGGGTAGAGAGAATCTTCCAATATCAGGATGAAAAAAGAATCTGGGTATGAATAGAAGAAAAAGCATATTGCAATAAATATACATAAACCATATGAGCATGTTAGATAGGAGTGAATGGAGACGAATGGTTTTTAGGGACCTGATAAGCTGTTGGAGTTTGAGCAGGGTAATATTCTGTGAAGGGATTCAGGAAAATCGGTTAGCCGGACTTGAGTCCTGGAAATGGTAAGTGCAATGCCTGCACTTTAAAAGAGGGATTTGGGATATTGGCAGTTTGAAGTGACTATCTAAACTGTCATATCTGAGCGCCTCTGCAAAGACAGTGATTATGTATAAGTGATGGTGAAAGTTTTTTTTTTTTTTTTTTTTTCAAACAAGTCGGTCGTCTCCCACCGAGGCAGGGTGACCCAAAAAAAAGAAAGAAAATCCCCAAAAAGAAAATACTCCCATCATCATTCAACACTTTCACCACACTCACACATTATCACTGCTTTTGAGAGGTGCTCAGAATATAACAGTTTAGAAGCATATACGTATAAAGATACACAACATATCCCTCCAAACTGCCAATATCCCAAACCCCTCCTTTAAAGTGCAGGCATTGTACTTCCCATTTCCAGGACTCAAGTCCAACTATATGAAAATAAAAATGGTGAAAGTGTTGAATGATAATGAAAGTTTTTTCTTTCTTTTTGGGTTTTTCTTTCTTTTGGGTCACCCTGCCTTGGTAGGAAACGGCCAATGTGTTAAAAAAAAAAAAAAAAAAACATAACATCAGCAACACATGACAGATTAGCAAACCTCAGAATATCATTCAGGACCTTTAAGAAGAATCCTTCAGAGCCATATATACCACATATGTTAAACCAATCATTGAGTATTGTGGCTCCAGCATACAGTCCACACCTTATAAAGTACGTGAAGAAACTCGACACGGTTTAAAGACCTGGTTGATTCCATTAAATCACACATATATATATACACACGTACACGTATACACACAATAAACAGGTGGGGCCAGGAGCTATGACTCTACCCCTGCAACCACAAGTAGGCGAGTACATACATACATACATACACTCACTCACACACACTCTCTCTCTCACACTCTCTCTCTCACACTCTCTCTCTCTCTCTCTCACTCTCTCTCTCACACTCTCTCACACTCTCTCACACTCTCTCTCACTCTCTCACACTCTCTCACACTCTCACACTCTCTCACACTCTCTCACACTCTCTCACACTCTCTCACACTCTCTCTCTCTCTCTCACACACTCTCTCACACTCACCTCTCTCTCTCTCTCTCTCTCTCTCTCTCTCTCTCTCTCTCTCACACACACACAAACACACACACACCATAAACTGCAAGGAATGCACTATAAGGAGAGAAGAAAGGAAGTGGACACAGGTGGAAGCTAAGAATGCAGATGAGCCACAGGAATGCAAAGAAGTATTTCTTTAGACTCAGGGTAACTGAAAAGTGGAATGACTTTTATGAGGCAAACTTCATACACAACTTCAAAAGTAGACATGATAAAGTCCAAAAGACCAGAAATCAATGATGCCAATCAAAGTAGTCTAGAAGCAGAGCTTCAACCCTGATAAACACAACTTGATGCATACACACACAGTACAAGCATACCTCACTATTACCATAAAGAAAATCACAGCCCTTATTTTTCTTTGCCAGTTCTTTTAAATCCTAAAACATGTTCACACAATCATTTTAAGTGCGCAATAGTGCTAGTCGGACTTGAGTCCTGGAAATGGGAAGTACAATGCCTGCACTTTAAAGGAGGGGTTTGGGATATTGGCAGTTTGGAGGGATATGTTGTGTATCTTTATACGTATATGCTTCTAAACTGTTGTGTTCTGAGCACCTCTGCAAAAACAGTGATAATGTGTGAGTGAGGTGAAAATGTTGAATGATTTATTATTATTTTTTTTTTTTATTATCACACTGGCCGATTCCCACCAAGGCAGGGTGGCCCGAAAAAGAAAAACTTTCACCATCATTCACTCCATCACTGTCTTGCAAGAAGGGTGCTTTACACTAGGTAGTAGGTTGGTAGACAGCAACCACCCAGGAAAGTACTACCGTCCTGCCAGATGACTGTGAAACAGAAACCTGTAACTGTTTTGCATGATGGTAGGATTGCTGGTTTCTTTTTCTGTCTCATAAACACGCTAGATAACAGGGATATCTTGCTACTCCTACTTACACTTTGGTCACACTTCACAGACACGCACATGCATATATATATATACATACATCTAGGTTTTTCTCCTTTTTCTAAATAGCTCTTGTTCTTCTTTATTTCTTCTATTGTCCATGGGGAAGTGGAAAAGAATCTTTCCTCCGTAAGCCATGCGTGTCGTATGAGGCGACTAAAATGCCGGGAGCAATGGGCTAGTAACCCCTTCTCCTGTAGACACTTACTAAAAAAGAGAAGTGTTGAATGATGATGAAAGTATTTTCTTTTTGGGAATTTGTTTTCTTTTTTGAGTCACCCTGCCTCGGTGGGAGACGGCCGACTTGTTGAAAAAAAAAAAAAAAATAGTGCTAGGACTGAAAAAAAATGCCAAAGTAAAAATAATAAATAAATACTCTATTCAGCTAATGCCTGCATCACCGTCGAAAAAAAAACTTTATTTCTTAGCAAAGTTCTCTAAAGTGAGCACTGTATTAGCGGGGCATGCCTGTAAATATGAAAAAAATATTGGTGTATTATTTTTTATTTTTTATTATCACACTGGCCGATTCCCACCAAGGCAGGGTGGCCCGAAAAAGAAAAACTTTCACCATCATTCACTCCATCACTGTCTTGCCAGAAGGGTGCTTTACACTACAGTTTTTAAACTGCAACATTAACACCCCTCCTTCAGAGTGCAGGCACTGTACTTCCCATCTCCAGGACTCAAGTCCGGCCTGCCGGTTTCCCTGAACCCCTTCATAAATGTTACTTTGGTGTATTACACAAATTAATTTAATCTTTACTAACTTATTGTGTTCTCCAGGGCATTGACTTCCTCTTGTTGTTGATAATGGGTGCTTTGTTGGATCCTCTGGTTACACAACTGTAGTTCATGGAACCGAAGAGTGTACTGCTGCTTGGCTTTCAGGTATTTATCTGCGTTTTTCTGTGGATTATGGGAACAACTCATCATGTGGGTCGTAAGAGGCGACTAAAATGTCAGGAGCAAGGGATTAGTAACCCTTTCTCCTGTATATATTACGAAATTTAAAAGAAGAAACTTTCGTTTTTCCTTTTGGGCCGCCGCACCTCGGTGGGATACGGTCGGTCTGTTGAAAGATGATAAAAGTGACTCAAAAAAGGAAGCAAATTCACCATCACACATACCGTAGCTGTCTTTCAGAAGTGCATGAATATCACAAGCAAGTCTGTGTCTTGACTGGTGGATGGAGGATCGAGCCTTCACCACTTCTACGATTGTAGATAAATGGTTCGGAGAACCGACAAGTTGATAAATTAGACACTTGTGCAGCACTAGCGTATCTTTATTGAGGAAATGTTTCACCACACAGTGACTTCATCAGTCCTATACAAAGAAGAATGGTGAATATCTGAAGGAGTTTGAGGTAATCAGTCCCTTAGCCTAGACCAATTACATCAACTCCAGGCTCAGGAACTGATTACCTCAAACTCCTTCCAATCTTCACCATTCTTCTTCGTACAGGACTGATGAGGCCACTGTGTGGCAAAACCCTCTCCAGGTAAACCCAAGAGTTTCACTTTTTTTTTTTTATTTTAATACGTTGGCCATTTCCCACCAAGGTAGGGTGACCCAAAAAGAAAGAAAAAACTTCCATCATTCAACACTTTCACCATCACTCAATCATAAACACTGCCTTTTCAGAAGTGCTCAGATACGACAGTTTAGATGTCCCTCCAAACTGCCAATAACTCAAACCCCTCTTTTAAAGTGCAGGCATTGTACTTTCCATTTCCAGGACTCAAGTCCGGCTAACCGGTTTCCCTGAATCCCTTCACCAAATATTACCCTGCTTACACTCCAACAGCTCGTTAGGTCCCAAAAACCATTCGTCTCCATTCACTATCAAACACGCTCACGCACGCTTGCTGCAAATCCAAGCCCCTCGCCCACAAAACCTCCTTTACCCCCTCCCTCCAACCTTTCTGAGGACAACCCCTACCCAGCCTTCCTTCCCCTACAGATTTATACGTTCTCCAAGTCATTCTACTTGGTTTCATTGTCTCTAAATGACCAAACTATCTCAACAGCCCCTCCTTTCTTCAACCCTCTAATACTTTTAGTAACTCCACACCTCCTAATTTCCACACTACGAACTCTCTGCATAATATTTACACCACACGTGCCCTTAGACAGGACATCTCCTTAAAATATTTTTGTCCTTAGCTTATAGTGAGTGGTGAATACATTTATTGTAGGAAGTCTGAATAAAGGAAGAATGGGTATAATTAAAAAACCACTGCATTAGCAAAATGCTGTAAAGAGGGGCCCGTCTGTACGTGCAATGAACAGTAATGAAGGTTAAAACTAGACTTGGCCTCGATATACTGTAGGCTTCTAAAATACATAACAAGAATTTGTTTCATAATCCTGTAGAACTTTCAAGCTAATAACAAAAGATAACACATAAGTGACATACCTGAAGATGCTGCAGTTGTTGTTCAACATGTTGCAGCCGCTGCGTTTTAGCCGAGAGCTCATCTTCATACTCACGGAAGGAGTCTAACTGAGCTAGAATACTGCCACCTTGTCTTCTTGCCCCTAAATGTGTTACAAATATTTTTTAGCACACCTACTGTCTCCTAGTGAGGTAGGGTGAACTAAAAAGAAAAAGACACTTTAACCATCATTTACTCCATCACCATCTTGCCAGAGGCATGCCAACATTACAACTCAGATGCCCCTCCAAACTGCAATACTCCCACCCCTCTTTCCAAGTGCAGGCACTGTACATTTCATCTCCAGGACTCGAATCCTGCTAACTGGTTTCCCTGAATCCCTTCCTAAAGGTTATCTTGCTCACACTCCAACAGCACATCAAGTCATAAAAACCACCTGGATCTACTCACCCTTATCTCACATGCCTGCTGGATGTCCAAGCCCCTCACATGCAAAACCTCCTTTTCCCCCCCTGTCCAGTCTTTCGTAGGATGACCCCTATCCTTCCTTCCCTCTGCTACAGAATCCTACACCCTCAAAAACATCCTATTTTTCTCCTTCCTCTCTAAATGTCCAAACCATCTCAACAACCCCTTCTCAGCCCTCTGGATAATGCTTTTAGAAAACTCGCACCTCCTCTTAATTTCCACACTACAGATTCTCTGCATAATGTTCACTCCACACACTGCCCTCAGACATGACATCACTGCCTCCAGTCTCCTCTGCAACATTCAAAAACCAATGCTTCACACTCATATTGAGAGTATTGGTACCACTATACTCTGATACATTTGCCTTTTTGCCTCGAAGGATAATGTTCTTTGTCTCCACAGATGCCTCAGTGCAGCACCCACCTTTTTTTTCTAGTTCACCTCATCTTTCATAAACCCCTCTGATATTTACTTTCTCCATAGAACTGATGAAGGGAATAAGATGTATGCACCACTGAGGCATCTGCAGAGATAAAAAGCATTATCAATGGAGTTGAAGAGGGAAATGTATGAGAGTATAACACTCTAATATGGGTGTGAAACATGGGTTGTGAATGTTGCAGCAAGGAATAGGATGGAGGAAGTAGAGATGTCATGTCTGAGGGCAGTGTGTTGTGTGAATATTATGCAGAGAATTCATTTGTCTGGAGATTTGAAGTTACTATGAGTATCATCCAGAGGGTTGAGGAGAGGTTGGTGAGGTGGTTTGGACATTTGGAAAGGGTGGGGGAAAATGGAGACTTGGAGAGTGTATAAATCTGTAGTGGAGGGAACAGAGGTTACCCTAGGAAAGATTGGAAGGCAAGGGTAAAGGAGGTTTTATGTGTGATGGGTTTGGACATTCAGCAGGTGTGTGTGAGCATATTAGATAGGAGTGGAGGCAAATGTTTTTTTGGGACTTGATAAGCTGCTGGAGTGTGTGCAAGATAACATTTTGTGAAGGGATTCAGTTAAAGTGGTCAGCCAGACCTGAGGCCTGGAGGTGGGAAGTACACTGCCTGTAATCTGAAGGATGAGTGAGAATATTTTCAGTTTGGAGGGTTATCTGAACTGTGGTATCAGTGCACCTCTGACAAGACATTGGTAAGAGTGAATGATGGTGAAAATGTTTCTTTTTTTGGGATACCCTACCTTGGTGGGAGACTGCCAGTACAGTGGTACCTCGAGTTACGAACTTAATTCGTTCTGGAAGGCTGTTCGAGTGCCGATACCGAATGAATTTGTTCCCATAAGGAATAATGCAAATTAGATTAGTCCGTTTCATACCCCCAAAAATACACTTAGAAAAGCACTTACAAAAATACACTTACATAATTGTTCGAGTTGGGAGCTGTTCAAAACTCAAGGTACCACTGTATGTTGAATAAAAATCTATGAGTAGAAGCACAAATTATGTCTGGTACATTATATGATTCCTGGGTTTTCCGTAAAATTAGTCAAAAATTCATCTCTTAAAAAACTACATTTTTTTTTTCATGAAGTAATTTTACTTACCACCAGACAGAGTGCCAGCAGGATCAAACACATCGCCATCTAGGGTGACTGACTTTCTCATAATGTTATTATGGAAAGTGACTTGTCTGGCTACATTCATATCCCGACATATGAAGGAGGAGCCAAACACCCACTCCATAGCCTTGTGTAACTCACGTTCGTAGCAAACAAGAGAGAGTGCAGTTTGAACATTCTCCTTGCCCACCTAAAATCAACAGGATATAATTTAATAAATGATTTATATACTATCATCCTTTGCTAACACAAAACTGCAAGAAAACACCTCATTCACAAGGGCATGATTGATATCCATCAAGAATCAGTAAGGTGACGAATTACACTTGTGCAACACTTGGGAATCTTTATTGTAGAAACGTCTTGCCAACCAGTGACTTAAAAATAAATAACAAAAAGGCACAATACCGTGACTGGAACGATACACAAATAACCCGCACATAAAAGAGAGAAGCTTACGACGACGTTTCGGTCCGACTTGGACCATTGACAAAGTCACACAAGTCGGACCGAAACGTCGTCGTAAGCTTCTCTCTTTTATGTGCGGGTTATTTGTGAACCAGTGACTTCCGAAGATCAGAAGGCATTTCAGGTAATCAGTAATGTGTCACTAGTGAACAAAAAAGGTACCATAAATTGAAACTCTCTCCTTCACTGGTAATTCATTACAGTGGATATATTTATTATGCAATACAACTTGGTGATCTCTCACAGCTCCTCAAATGCCATTTGGCTTCTTAAACTAATATTGTGGATTAATTCTTTAGTTGTGAATGGTGTTATATTTATGATATATTTTCTTTAATGTATTGCCAGCTTATGCTTACTGAGATAATCTGCATCTTTTGCACTCAAAAATTATTGCAAGAACTAACAATTGCTTTACATGTATTAAAGCCAAATCAGAAAGCAGTACTTTTCAAGTAACAAGTTACCATGTATGTAAACAAATGCTATAAAATAACTCATGATATAAATAAAGTCGTATGAGGCGACTAAAATGCCGGGAGCAATGGGCTAGTAACCCCTTCTCCTGTATACAATTACTAAAAAAGAGAAGAAGAAAAACTTTATAAAACTGGGTTGCTTAAATGTGCGTGGATGTAGTGCGGATGACAAGAAACAGATGATTGCTGATGTTATGAATGAAAAGAAGTTGGATGTCCTGGCCCTAAGCGAAACAAAGCTGAAGGGGGTAGGAGAGTTTCAGTGGGGGGAAATAAATGGGATTAAATCTGGAGTATCTGAGAGAGTTAGAGCAAAGGAAGGGGTAGCAGTAATGTTAAATGATCAGTTATGGAAGGAGAAAAGAGAATATGAATGTGTAAATTCAAGAATTATGTGGATTAAAGTAAAGGTTGGATGCGAGAAGTGGGTCATAATAAGCGTGTATGCACCTGGAGAAGAGAGGAATGCAGAGGAGAGAGAGAGATTTTGGGAGATGTTAAGTGAATGTATAGGAGCCTTTGAACCAAGTGAGAGAGTAATTGTGGTAGGGGACTTGAATGCTAAAGTAGGAGAAACTTTTAGAGAGGGTGTGGTAGGTAAGTTTGGGGTGCCAGGTGTAAATGATAATGGGAGCCCTTTGATTGAACTTTGTATAGAAAGGGGTTTAGTTATAGGTAATACATATTTTAAGAAAAAGAGGATAAATAAGTATACACGATATGATGTAGGGCGAAATGACAGTAGTTTGTTGGATTATGTATTGGTAGATAAAAGACTGTTGAGTAGACTTCAGGATGTACATGTTTATAGAGGGGCCACAGATATATCAGATCACTTTCTAGTTGTAGCTACACTGAGAGTAAAAGGTAGATGGGATACAAGGAGAATAGAAGCATCAGGGAAGAGAGAGGTAAAGGTTTATAAACTAAAAGAGGAGGCAGTTAGGGTAAGATATAAACAGCTATTGGAGGATAGATGGGCTAATGAGAGCATAGGCAATGGGGTCGAAGAGGTATGGGGTAGGTTTAAAAATGTAGTGTTAGAGTGTTCAGCAGAAGTTTGTGGTTACAGGAAAGTGGGTGCAGGAGGGAAGAGGAGCGATTGGTGGAATGATGATGTAAAGAGAGTAGTAAGGGAGAAAAAGTTAGCATATGAGAAGTTTTTACAAAGTAGAAGTGATGCAAGGAGGGAAGAGTATATGGAGAAAAAGAGAGAAGTTAAGAGAGTGGTGAAGCAATGTAAAAGAGAGCAAATGAGAGAGTGGGTGAGATGTTATCAACAAATTTTGTTGAAAATAAGAAAAAGTTTTGGAGTGAGATTAACAAGTTAAGAAAGCCTAGAGAACAAATGGATTTGTCAGTTAAAAATAGGAGAGGAGAGTTATTAAATGGAGAGTTAGAGGTATTGGGAAGATGGAAGGAATATTTTGAGGAATTGTTAAATGTTGATGAAGATAGGGAAGCTGTGATTTCGTGTATAGGGCAAGGAGGAATAACATCTTGTAGGAGTGAGGAAGAGTCAGTTGTGAGTGTGGGGGAAGTTCGTGAGGCAGTAGGTAAAATGAAAGGGGGTAAGGCAGCCGGGATTGATGGGATAAAGATAGAAATGTTAAAAGCAGGTGGGGATATAGTTTTGGAGTGGTTGGTGCAATTATTTAATAAATGTATGGAAGAGGGTAAGGTACCTAGGGATTGGCAGAGAGCATGCATAGTTCCTTTGTATAAAGGCAAAGGGGATAAAAGAGAGTGCAAAAATTATAGGGGGATAAGTCTGTTGAGTGTACCTGGTAAAGTGTATGGTAGAGTTATAATTGAAAGAATTAAGAGTAAGACGGAGAATAGGATAGCAGATGAACAAGGAGGCTTTAGGAAAGGTAGGGGGTGTGTGGACCAGGTGTTTACAGTGAAACATATAAGTGAACAGTATTTAGATAAGGCTAAAGAGGTCTTTGTGGCATTTATGGATTTGGAAAAGGCGTATGACAGGGTGGATAGGGGGGCAATGTGGCAGATGTTGCAAGTGTATGGTGTAGGAGGTAGGTTACTGAAAGCAGTGAAGAGTTTTTACGAGGATAGTGAGGCTCAAGTTAGAGTATGTAGGAAAGAGGGGAATTTTTTCCCAGTAAAAGTAGGCCTTAGACAAGGATGTGTGATGTCACCGTGGTTGTTTAATATATTTATAGATGGGGTTGTAAGAGAAGTAAATGCGAGGGTCTTGGCAAGAGGCGTGGAGTTAAAAGATAAAGAATCACACACAAAGTGGGAGTTGTCACAGCTGCTCTTTGCTGATGACACTGTGCTCTTGGGAGATTCTGAAGAGAAGTTGCAGAGATTGGTGGATGAATTTGGTAGGGTGTGCAAAAGAAGAAAATTAAAGGTGAATACAGGAAAGAGTAAGGTTATGAGGATAACAAAAAGATTAGGTGATGAAAGATTGAATATCAGATTGGAGGGAGAGAGTATGGAGGAGGTGAACGTATTCAGATATTTGGGAGTGGACGTGTCAGCGGATGGGTCTATGAAAGATGAGGTGAATCATAGAATTGATGAGGGAAAAAGAGTGAGTGGTGCACTTAGGAGTCTGTGGAGACAAAGAACTTTGTCCTTGGAGGCAAAGAGGGGAATGTATGAGAGTATAGTTTTACCAACGCTCTTATATGGGTGTGAAGCGTGGGTGATGAATGTTGCAGCGAGGAGAAGGCTGGAGGCAGTGGAGATGTCATGTCTGAGGGCAATGTGTGGTGTGAATATAATGCAGAGAATTCGTAGTTTGGAAGTTAGGAGGAGGTGCGGGATTACCAAAACTGTTGTCCAGAGGGCTGAGGAAGGGTTGTTGAGGTGGTTCGGACATGTAGAGAGAATGGAGCGAAACAGAATGACTTCAAGAGTGTATCAGTCTGTAGTGGAAGGAAGGCGGGGTAGGGGTCGGCCTAGGAAGGGTTGGAGGGAGGGGGTAAAGGAGGTTTTGTGTGTGCGAGGGGCTTGGACTTCCAGCAGGCATGCGTGAGCGTGTTTGATAGGAGTGAATGGAGACAAATGGTTTTTAATACTTGACGTGCTGTTGGAGTGTGAGCAAAGTAACATTTATGAAGGGATTCAGGGAAACCGGCAGGCCGGACTTGAGTCCTGGAGATGGGAAGTACAGTGCCTGCACTCTGAAGGAGGGGTGTTAATGTTGCAGTTTAAAAACTGTAGTGTAAAGCACCCTTCTGGCAAGACAGTGATGGAGTGAATGATGGTGAAAGTTTTTCTTTTTCGGGCCACCCTGCCTTGGTGGGAATCGGCCGGTGTGATAATAAAAAAAAAATAAAAATAATAAATAAATAAAGTGTAAATTATAGTATTTTCTTTTTGGGGATTTTCTTTCTTTTTGGGTCACCCTGCCTCGGTGGGAGACGGCCAACTTGTTAAAAAAAATTAAATAAAGTGATTATTCACTGACAGATGTTCAGTAAAACTTTGTGTTCATAGACTACTACATATATGGAATTGAGAGAGGTGAAATTAAATCTGTTGCTAAAGCTCCTGGGCTGTGGAGAAATCACTAGTTGTGTTACAGATGGTGCATGAGATGGAAATTATGTACAGTTTGTACAACTTTTGTGATTTCTCCATTAGAATCCCTCAAAACCAAGGTGTTAGTGCGCCAGCCTGTCAATTAGTGGGCTGCAGATCGATCCCCTTGTCCATCACTCTGCTTATTCAGAGTAACTGAAATGCACTTGAGATATGTGTTTTAGATTTTCAAGGAAAAGTTGCCCAATAAAACAAGGTAGTCAGAAATGTACAAAGCTCCTGGAAAGCAAAATGTTGCCATAATAAAAATGTTGCATTAATAGAAGATGCTTCTCTTTATCTAACATCATCACATACCAAACTTTCAGCTTGCTTCACTATGTAGTCATCGATGGATCTTCCTGTGATCTTGTTAAGAGGAATGATGGTAACTCTTGTTTGTAGCTGGCCTTTCTGTAGCAACTTTTTACTAGTAACTTCTGTGTCTACAATCACATTATACAACTGCAAAATAAACAAGAAAAACCATACATATAGAAAGTTTGTTAATACAATTCAAGTTTAATGATAACAAACCACGAGTTTGCTTGTTAATACCATTTAAATTTAATGATAACTTACCATGCACAAACTCACATATGAATAATCTGCAGATCAAACTTGAAATAATTGTAAAATATAACTTGTGTTAGAAATTTGTGAGATTGATTGGTGTGAATTTTGATTCAGCAAGAAATTAATTTTGCTAATTTTTCCCTATAACCTCTTTAAATCATGAGCAAAAATTACACAAAATTCGAAGTGTGAATTCAGATAATGTGACCACTTCACAGGATTCATTATTCACATTAATCGAGACCTAGCTGTATTTATTAGGAATGTGCTGAAGTGTTGGTACTTGTGAGTACAGTGGAACCTTGGTTTTCATCATTAATTTGTTCCATTAATTCGGCAATTTTCTAAGATTCGACTTACGTCCAATTTGACTTGTGATCAGTTGGTCGGAACCAAGCTCGGTCATAAGTCAGATGGTACCAGTACGTCGCTAAGTGAGGAGAGGCCGTCTTGCCATTAACATACAGTGGAACCTTGGTTTTCATGATTAATCCGTTCGAAAAAGTCTGACGAAAACCGAATTGTACGAAAACTAAAGCAATACTTCCCATAAGAAATAATGTAAATCCAATTAATCCGTTCCAAGCACCCAAAAATATTAACAAAAAATACATTTTATTGAGAATAACTATAGTTTTAAATATAGAAAACAATGAGAAATAAATATAGAGGACTACTGAAATGGATAAATGAACATTTAACATCACTTTTACCTTTACTGAAGACTCTTGTTGGCGTATGGAAGACGGCGAGGAGGGGAGGAGGAGGAGGAGACGTTATCTCTACCACCATCACTACCATCCTTTACCACAATCACTACCACCCTCTACCACCATCACAACCACTACTGCCCTCTACTGCCATCACTACCACCATCACAACCACTACCAGCCTCTACCATCACTACTGCCCTCTACCACCATCACTACCACCCTCTACCTTTGTAGAGGATGGTAGTGATGGTGGCACTCTGAACTTTCTTCAGCCCCATGGTGGCTTATGTCAAAGTCACAATCAATAAACAAGCACAAAAAACAATGGATGAACGAGCGGAGTATTGCTAACTCAACGAGAGACAGAAGCAGAATGAGTCTGGAACGCATGCGAAGCGGCGTCCCAGGTGTCTGATACGGACGATTTCCGAGCGGATGTATGAAACCCAGGGGAAAATTTCGCCGAAAAAAGTGCTTGAAATCCGAATTGTACGATTTCTGCACCGGTCAAAAACCGGGGTTCCACTGTACCTCCCTGGACGGTTGATGTCTACCAACCTAATGCTTAGGACATCCGTTAGTTATCTTTAGAATTAATATACCTAACTGTTCTACATGTGTCTTACTTATCAAATGTGGGTAATGCATACGGTTAATAAAGTCACATAGGTCTGAACTGCTCTCGCCTTCATCAACATTCTTCATAGGCTCATATCTGTGATTGATTTCAAGAATTTTTCCACCCTTGCTACCCAGCCTAAGGCAAGACTTTACTATCATCACTGTAATGATGTACAAAAGCAACAACTAGATGAATAAGATATATGCAACATTTAGTTATCTTTATCGACAAAAAGTTATGTCTGCACAGCAGGCTTCTTCAGTTGTAACATTGGAAAAGGTGGTGAGGCCAATTTTAAGGTGTTGTCCCTTAGCCTTGATGGAGGGTATTCAGACCCTCACGCCTTCACAACAGAAATGTCCTACTAGAGTGCCCTAAATCTACTCCAACACAACCCTCCAGTTTCAACACTTCAAATCATCATATCCTGAGATTACTACTGCTACTACTCCTACCCTACTATTATGATTACTACAACTACGGTTGGAGGCAGTGGAGATGTCCTGTCTAAGGGCAATGTGTGGTGTAAATATTATGCAGAAAATTCGGAGTGTGGAAATTAGGAGAAGGTGTGGAGTTAATAAAAGCATTAGTCAGAGGGCAGAAGAGGGGTTGTTGAGGTGGTTTGGTCATTTAGAGAGAATGGATCAAAGTAGAATGACATGGAAAGCATATAAATCTATAGGGGAAGGAAAGAGGGGTAGGGGTTGTCCTCGAAAGGGTTGGAAAGAGGGGGTAAAGGAGGTTTTGTGGGCGAGGGGCTTGGACTTCCAGCAAGCGTGCATGAGCGTGTTAGATAGGAGTGAATGGAGACGAATGATACTTGGGACCTGACGATCTGTTGGAGTGTGAGCAGGGTAATATTTAGTGAAGGGATTCAGGGAAACCGGTTATTTTCATATAGTCGGACTTGAGTCCTGGAAATGGGAAGTACAATGCCTGCACTTTAAAGGAGGGGTTTGGGATATTGGCAGTTTGGAGGGATATGTTGTGTATCTTTATATGTGTATGCTTCTAGACTGTTGTATTCTGAGCACCTCTGCAAAAGCAGTGATAATGTGAGAGTGTGGTGAAAGTGTTGAATGATGATGAAAGTATTTTCTTTTTGGGGATTTTCTTTCTTTTTTGGGTCACCCTGCCTCGGTGGGAGACGACCAATTTGTTGGAAAAAAAAAAAAAAAAAAAAAAAAAAAAAAAACTACTATCCTACTGTTATGACTGCTACTGCCACCCCTATTATGACTACTACTACAGATACCCTACTGTCATTGTCTTGGCAGAGGAGTGCAGATATTACAGTTCAGTTGTCCCTCCTAATTGCAAGTATCCCCACCTACCCTTCAGAGCGCAGGCATTGTATTTTCCACCTCCAGGACTCAAGCCCAGCTAACGGGTTTCCCAGAATCCCTTCACACAATGTTACCTTGCTCACACTCCAACAGTATGTCAAATTTCAAAAAAAAAAAAAAAAAAAAAAAAAAAAAAAAAAAAAAAAAAAAAAAAAAAAAAAAAAAGCCTCCACTCACTACTATTAACCCTTTGAGGGTCGACAGGCCCTCTCCGAAACTTGTTCTCAGGGTCGGCCAAATTTAAAAAAAAAAAATTATTTTCTCTTATGAAAAGATAGAGAATCTTTTCCCGATCATAAAGACACCAAAAGTTTGAAATTTGATAGAAAACTTACGGAATTATGCTCTCGCAAAGTTAGCGGTCTTGGCGATGTTTACGCATCGGCGATTTTGCCCACTTTGAGCCCCATTTTCGGCCAATTTCACTGTACTAGTCGACAAAAAACATGAATATTTCGCTAGAACTCCATTTTTGCTATCAAATGGATGCAAGAAACCACTCATTTATGAAATTCAACTATCCAGTACAGTGGTCAGAATTTTGCAATTTTGCCAATTTCACACAAATTTCAAAAGATGCCAATTTCCGAATAGGGTCCAGAATAAACAAGAAAGACTTTCCTGGCACTAAAATGACATTTCCTCTAGTCATTAGTCATGTCTCAAGGCCCCTCTTATATTCTTTTGCTTTCCACTTTGAATTTTTATTTTCACAAAAAATATAAGATTTACTGTTATGCAGACTACTGCATTAGTGTAAAAAATGGTATAAATATTATTGGTGCACTTGTGAAAGAATATCAACTCACCAGTTGAGTGTATTGCACGCTTGGCACGATTTGTTTACTTTTGAAGTTTGGTAAAAATCGAAACATTTCTGCTACTTTAGGCTCAATTTCAAGGCACCTTTCTTGTAAAACCAGTCAAAATCATCTCAATTTCTGTAATATGTTTTCCATTCTATAAAATGAGACCAAGAAAACTAGAATACAACAATAAATACCATACGAAAATACACTGCAAAGTCGCTGATTTATTCAAAAAAAATGGTCAAAGTTTTTTTTTCTCATTATGCACTGTGTGCTGCAGGATTTTTTTTAGACTGTGCACACTGACCACATAGACCCATTCTTTCATATGAAGGCCTACCAGCTTTCTCCCACTAGATTTGAGGCCGCTAGAATTTATGAGTACTAGTACGTCAAAAACCCCTACGCCTAAGACGTACTAGTACGACGAAAACCCTCAAAGGGTTAACATGCTCAAACATACCTGCTGGATGTCTAAGCCCTTTGCACACAAAACCTTTTTTACCCCCTCCCTCAAACCTTTCCTAGGGCAACCCCTACCCTGCCTTCAACCAATAAATGAAATATTTGCCTGCTAAAATAGTTGTACAATAATACACTAGTTTCCTAAATTTGGCAACATTTTGTGACTCCATGGCAATGAAGCCAATACCAGCATACCAGTCATTTTTTATTTTTAACACACCAGTTGTCTCCCACCAAGCAGGGTGACCCAAAAAGAAAAAAAATATATTACAGTTCTTCTTTTTGCATTTAGTAATTTATGCAGAAGGGGTTACTAGCCCTTTGCTCCCGGCATTTTAGTTGCCTCTTACGACACATATGGCTTACAAGGTGGGATATTTGCAAAATGTTCAATGTTTCATGTGTCTATACTACAAGGTCTGTCAAAAAGCACAACATACACACATACTGGAGTGAGAGATATGGGTTAATGCATAGAATAAACCCCATGAAGGCCAGAGGAGCTGTGAGTACAATAAAAGAACATTCAACATACAGGGCCCAGGACATTTTAACATCTTCCCAGAAGGCATCATAAATACTTCTGGAACAAGTGTATTAGTCTTTAGAGGAAATCAGACAATTTCTTCTGCCAAGTGCCACATCAACTAGGCTATGATGGATATACAGTGGACCCCCGGTTAATGATATTTTTTCACTCCAGAAGTATGTTCAGGTGCCAGTACTGACCGAATTTGTTCCCATAAGAAATATTGTGAAGTAGATTAGTCCATTTCAGACCCCCAAACATACACGTACAAACGCACTTACATAAATACACTTACATAATTGGTCGCATTCGGAGGTAATCGTTATGCGGGGGTCCACTGTATAAGCTAGTGGACTGCCAGTAGCAACAGCCTGGTTGACCAGGCAAGCGCCAAACAAGCCTGGCCAAGGGCAGGGCTTCGAAAGTAGGAAAGCTCTTGAAATTCATCACTTCGGTGGGTTAGATTCCAGACCGCCGCCATAAAGCGAATCACAGTTTTTTTTTTTTTTTTTTTACTTTCCAGTGCATATAAAAGCCTAGAAATACATGCATACACTATCATTAAGTGTGCAATAGCACTAGGCCTAAAACAAAAATGCAAAATAAAAATAGTAAATAAAGAAATTAAAATATCAATAAACTATCTTAACCCTTTCAGGGTCCAGAGGCCAAATTTCAAAGGGTACACCAGTGTCCAAGAATTTTCAAAAACAAATTTTGTTATTTTTTCTTATGAAATGGTAGAGAATCTTTTTCTGAAGGTAATAAAACAAAAAGTACGAAATTTGATGGAAAATTGACGAAATTATGCTCTCGCGAATTTTGATGTGTCAGCGATATTTACGAATTGTCGATTTTGCCAAATTTGACTCCCATTTTAGGCCAATTACATTATTCCAGTCGACCAAATTCTTAGCTATTTCACTAGTATTACTTCTATTCTATCGAATGAGCACAAGAAATTGCCCAGTCAACTGTTTCAACTACAAAATAAAGTGATCGGAAATTGGTAATTTGGCCAATTTAACACAAAGTTCAAAATATTCCAGTTTCAAAATAGGGTCCAGAATAAACAATGCAGGCATTCCTGGAACTAAACTAACATTTCCTCTGCTCATCAGTTATGTTTTCAGGCTTTACAAATTAATTCCAGTTTGATTTTTTATTCACATAATGAATTTTTATTCAAACCAAAAAACAGAAGATTTACTGTTAAGCAATATTGTAATAATTGTATAAATATCATCATCACATTTGTGAATGTATATTAGACCCACCAGCTGGCGTGTATAAGACATGTGAGGTCGTTTGTTTACTCTTGAACAGCGACAAAAATTTAACATTTCCGCTACTTTGAGCTCAGTTTCAAGCCATTTCCAGTACTAAAACCAATCAAAATCATCTCTACTTCTGTAATATATCTTCCATTCTATCAAATGAGATCAAGAAATCGCAAATACAACTATAAAAAACATACGAAAAAACACTGCAGTCGCTGTTTTAATCGAAAATCACGGTCTGTTTTTTCTCTCTCATTATACACAGTACGCTGCAGGATTTGTTTTATGTGGTGCACACATACCACATAGATGTATTCTCTCATATCTAGGCCCAAATTTACCACTCACAGCTTATCAGAGTGAGCTGAGCTCATGGTGTAGATCTACGGTTTGGACCCTGAACGTAAGCCGTAGATCTACGGCCGGGACCCTGAAAGGGTTAAGAGTAAGGCAAACACCGATAATAAAAAACATGAAAATAATTGAAAAGTGGAGTATTAGTGAAGCGCTCTAAAGCAAGCACTGCATTAACGAGGCATGCCTTTAACCACCATAACGTAACTCACCTTTCCTCCAGCTGTGACTTCCAAAGCAGTTGCAGTAGAAGGATCTCTTAACTTCAGCAGCTTGCACACTAGTCCCTTTACTGATGAACGATCAAAATTCTTTTCAGGGTCTCTATAGTTGAAGCATAACTTGGGGTATCTGCCAGATAATAAAAAAATGGTATTAAATCCTTACATTACCCAGACACAAGTGCAACTAATGTGACATTTTATTGTGGCAACGTTTCGCTCTTCAGGAGCTTTGTCAAGCCGTTACGTATCGCTCTCCAGGAGCAAAATGTTGCCACAATAAAATGTCACATTAGTTGCACTTGTGTCCTTTAACTTTACATATTGTCGGTAATTCTACCAACATTATTACATTACCCAGACACTTGAGAGTATACTGAGAGCAGCTGAAATAGAGGTCCCAACTCTGCCCTGCATACTGTTCTCCATACATGAGCTTCTGCAAAAGGTTTATTCTAAACAAAAATAATTTATTTTATATTCACAGCAGGCCCAGGAGAAACTAAAATACCCTCATTCTGCCTAATCCTCATTCTGCACCCTAATTTTAGGGTGCAGAATGAGGGTTAGGCTAGGTAAGGTTTGTCAGGAAACAAGCGAAGTGTTTCCTGACACTGGTCTTAAGACATATGATGACCCCCAACTGGAACTTTTGGTCATCTGACCAAGGCCTTCTGCTGGTTTACCCCTCCACCCCTGTTAAAATTACGATTATGTCTACCACTATTAGAATGATGGCGAAAGTATTTTTTTTTTTTTGGGGGGGGGAGAGGGGAAGGGGTGTCACTCTGCCTCATCGGGAGACAGCGATAGTAAAAAAAAAATCTGAATAAGGGAGAAATCTCATCATGCTAATTTGAGTCTATTCCAAGTTTTCAAACAATTGGTGTAAACTGTAAAAGCATATTAACAAAAGAACTACAGTGGAACCTCAAAAATCGAACTGCTCCAAACACAACCAATTACGTAAGTGTATTTTTGTAAGTGCTTTTATAAGTGTATTTTTGAGGGTTTGAAATGGACTAATCTAATTTACATTATTCCTAATGGGAATACATTCATTCGGTAAAGGCACTCGAACAGCCTTCTGGACTGAAGAAAGTTCGATATTTGAGGTTCCACTGTACTATTAAGACAGTTTAGATGTCACTCTAAATAGCTAATATCCCAAACTGTAGAAGATATTAACCAAAAGAACTGGCATTGTACTTCCCTCCTCCAGGACTCAAGTCCAGCTAACTGGTTTCCCTGAATCCCTTCAAACAATATTATCCTGCTTACACTCCAACAGCTCCTCAGGTCCCAAAAAGCATTCATTTCCATTCACTCCTCTCTAACACGATCACACATAAATATATGATAAAAAATAAATAAAAATTGTCATTGAGTTAATAAACAAATAATTACTGTAATTAAATACTACAACTGAGAAGTAAATAAATTAATACAAGTTTATTCTATCAATAAATTTACAGCACAAAAAACTAGTTTTATAGCACAATTGTAAAGTCAAAATATGATACATTGAGCCCTTGTAAAGTGAGTATCATCTGTAGTACACTCACGACTGTGCCAATGACAACATGATCAATGAGCTAGCAACAGTGAAAAAATGTGGAGTTCTCAAAGCTACAGAATCAACAGTGGAATGTTTGATGATATCCTCATTGCCCTGCTAATGTTTCCTGGCACAAGCAGATTTGATCACTTCAAGCATGTAAGTGATCCTGTGTGATGGAGTACAAATAGGAAACTGTCCTCTGTGATGATCAGTCAGGCAAGCATGGTGCAAGCATTACACAGAATACACAGTGTCATAGTCACATGATGTGTACAGGATAGTCCAGTATAAACAGCACCTCTGTTCCACCTGCCAATAACAATGGCCAGGACATGGAACATAATGAACTATGGCTCAATTTGAAGCCAACGAAAATGTTGAACACCGACAAGGTGCTGCATATGTGGGGCCCTCCTGTACTTAATACTGATCACTTTATTTAACACACCCGACAGCCACGAGGCACTAAACTACAGGCCAGCATCACTGACATATATGGTATGCAAAATCATGGAGAAGATTATCAGGAGGAGAGTGGTGGAGCACCTAGAACAGAATAAGCTTATAAACGACAACCAGTAAGGATTCAGGGAAAGAAAATCCTGTGTCGCAAACCTACTGGAGTTTTAAGACAAGGTAACAGAAGTAAGACAAGAGAGAGAGAGGAGGGGGGGTATTTGCATTTTCTAGGACTGCAAGAAGGCCTTCGACACAGTTCCTCACAAGAGATTAGTGCAAAAGCTAGAGGATCAGGCACACATAACAGGAAGGGCACTGCAATGGATCAGAGAATACCTGACAGGGAGACAACAATATAACGGAACTAAATCATGTATTGGGGGATTAAATATAACAAAGCTAATCCATGTACTGGGTGTATTCATGTATTGGGGGTTTAAATATAAATACAAGAGCTAAATCATGTAAGTCAACTACAAAGAGGTAAGCCCAAGAGCTAGAGTACATCCCATCAACTTGAACAGGTAAGTACAAATAAATTTAGGTAATACCTCTACAAGTTCATGCAAAAATAATTAAACATCACTACATTTTATAGGTAGTAGGTTGGTAGACAGCAACCGCCCAGGGAGGCACTACCGTCCTGCCAAGTGAGTGTAAAAAGAAAGCCTGTAATTGTTTTACATGATGGTAGGATTGCTGGTGTCTTTTGTGTCTCATAAACATGCAAGATTTCAGGTACGCCTTGCTACTTCTACTTACACTTAGGTCACACTACACATACATGTACAAGCATATATATACACACCCCCTCTGGGTTTTCTTCTATTTTCTTTCTAGTTCTTGTTCTTGTTTATTTTCTCTTATCTCCATGGGGAAGTGGAATAGAATTCTTCCTCCGTAAGCTATGCGTGTTGTAAGAGGCAACTAAAATGCAGGGAGCAAGAGGCTAGTAACCCCTTCTCCTGTATATATTACTAAATTTGAAAGGAGAAACTTTTGTTTTTCCTTTTGGGCCACCCTGCTTCAGTGAGCCACCCCCGCCTCGGTGGGCCACCCCACCTCGGTGGGATACGGCTGGTACGTTGAAAGAAGATCACTACATTTATTGATATTTGTGGCTATCTAAACGCCTCTAACAAGACAGTAATAGTGTGAATGATGGTAAAAGTGTTTCATTCTTTGGGTTACCCTGTCTTGGTTGGAGATGGCCAGCCTTACCTTTGATATACCTTTCAAGAGTTTTGAGAGTTTCTCTGCTCTCTGAGCCCGGCTATGGGCCAGGCTCATCTGGTGCTTGCCTGGTCAACCAGGCTGTTGCTGCTGGAGGCCCGCTGTCCCACATATCCATCACAGCCTGGTTGTTCTGGCACCTGGTGAAGATACTTGTCCAGTTTCCTCTTGAAGGCTTCTACACTTGTTCCAGCTGTATTTCTGATATCTTCTAGTAAGATGATGAATAGTCTGGGACCCCGGATATTAATACAGTGTTCCCTTATTGTCCCCACCACATCCCTGCTCCTCACTGGGTTTATTTTACACTTCCTCCCATATCTCTCACTCCAGTATGTTGTTAGGCAGTGTGCAGATTTGGGACCAGGCCCTTGAGTACTTTCCAGGTATATTCTTCTTTCAACAAACCGGCCGTATCCCACCAAGGCAGGGTGGCCCAAAAAGAAAAACAAAAGTTTCCCTTTTTAAATTTAGTAATTTATACAGGAGAAGGGGTTACTAGCCCCTTGCTCCCGGCATTTTAGTCGCCTCTTGTAACAACACGCATGACTTACGGAGGAAGAATTCTGTTCCACTTCCCCATGGAGTTTCCAGGTATATATTATCATGTATCTCTCTCTCCTCCGCTCCAATGAGCACATGTTCAAGACTTGAAGGCGTTCCCAGTAGTTTAGGTGCTTTACTGGCTCAATGTGAGCCATAAACGATCTCTGTATTTGTTCCAGCTCCGATATTTCTCCTGCTTTGAACGAGGCCGTCAGCACTGAGCAATATTCTAAGTGAGGGAGTACTAGTGATTTGAAGTGTGTCACCATCAGCATTATTTCGCTCGTTTTGAAAGCTCTCAGTACCCACCCCATCATCTTCCTGGTTGTCGTGATCTTTGTCTTGTTATGGTCTTTAAAAGAAAGGTCAGCTGACATAATTATTCGCAGGTCTTTTACGTGTTCCTTACGCTCTATTTGGTGACCCTCTTTGAGTTTTGTATATAGTGTTCCTTTTGAGTTCTTCATTCTTTCCATACCCAAGCAGCTGGAACTTATCACCATTGAACGTCATGTTGTTCTGCACTGCCCACTGGAAAACCCCACTTATGTCTTCCTGTATTTTTTCAGTGTCCTCTACCAAAGTGACTTTCATGTTTATTTTAGTGTCATCTGCAAATGATAATACAAAAGTGTACCAGGTGGATATATATCAATGACAAACAATGCAATGCAAATTCATTACAAAAGTTTTTAAACTGTGACAAGAACAGTATGGGTAAAGACACTGTTGTTGAGGCCCTCTTAAACAGTGACAAGAACAGTATGGGTAATGACACTACCTATTGTTGAGGCCCTCTTAGAGTGACAAGAATAGTATGAGTAAGATACTACCTGTTGTTGAGGCCCTGTTAAATAGAGTGACAAGAACAGTATGGGTAGAGACACTACCTGTTGTCGAGGCCTTCTACCTTCTCCTGTAAGTTCATTATTTGCTTTCTCAAGACACGCTGTTCGCCTTCTAGCTCTTCCAATTTACTATCATCACAGCCGAGCTTCTCCAACTGAGCCTGAAAAAATATTAAGGACAATGCAAACACTGGCAGCTAAAATTTGTGAGCATTCTATGTAATATAAGTGCTCCTTGACTTACCATGAGGTTACATTCCGATGAACCCACTGTAAGTCGAAAACATCCTAAGTCAAATATGAACATGTGCTAAATAAATAAGTAAATAACTACTGTCATCTAGGTAGTAGGTTGGTAGAAAGCAACCACCCAGGGAGGTACTACTGTCCTGCCAAGTGAGTGTAAAACGGAAGCCTGTAATTGTTTTACACGATGGTAGGATTGCTGTTGTCTTTTTTTCAGTTTCATACACATGCAAGATTTCAGGTACATCTTGCTACTTCTACTTACACTTAGGTCACACTACACGTACATGTTTTTTTTTTTTTTCAACAAGTCGGCCGTCTCCCACCGAGGCAGGGTGACCCAAAAAAGAAAATCCCCAAAAAGAAAATACTTTCATCATCATTCAACACTTTCACCTCCCTCACACATATCACTGTTTTTGCAGAGGTGCTCAGAACACAACAGTTTAGCAGCATATACGTATAAAGATACACAACATATCCCTCCAAACTGCTAACATCCCGAACCCCTCCTTTAGAGTGCAGGCATTGCACTTCCCATTTCCAGGACTCAAGTCTGGCTATATAAAAATAACTGGTTTCCTTGAATCCCTTCACTAAATATTACCCTGCTCACACTCCAACAGATCGTCAGGTCCCAAATACCATTCGTCTCCATTCACTCCTATCGAACATGCTCATGCACGCCTGCTGGAAGTCCAAGCCCCTCACCCACAAAACCTCCCTTACCTTTCGAGGACGACCCCTACCCTGCCTTCCTTCTCCTACGGATTTAAATGCTCTCCATGTCATTCTAGTTTGATCCATTCTCTCTAAATGACCAAACCACCTCAACAACCCCTCTTCAGCCCTCTGACTAATACTTTTATTAACTCCACACCTCCTAATTTCCACACTTCGAATTTTCTGCATAATATTTACACCGCACATTGCCCTTAGACAGGACATCTCCACTGCCTCCAACCGCCTCCTCGCTGCTGCATTCACAATCCAAGCTTCACACCCATATAAGAGTGTTGGTACCACTATACTTTCATACATTCCCTTCTTTGCCTCCATAGATAACATTTTTTGACTCCACATATACCTCAATGCACCACTCACCTTTTTTCCCTCATCAATTCTATGATTAACCTCATCCTTCATAAATCCATCCACCGACACATCAACTCCCAAGTATCTGAAAACATTCACTTCTACCATACTCCTCCTCCCCAATTTGATATCCAATTTTTCTTTATCTAAATAATTTGATACCCTCATCACCTTACTCTTTTCTATGTTCACTTTCAACTTTCTACCTTTACACACACTCCCAAACTCATCCACTAACCTTTGCAAATTTTTCTTTAGAATCTCCCATACATGTACATGTACAAGCATATATATACACACACCCCTCAGGGTTTTCTATTTTCTTTCTAGTTCTTGTTCTTGTTTATTTCCTCTTACCTCCATGGGTAAGTGGAACAGAATTCTTCCTCCGTAAGCCATGCGTGTTGTAAGAGGCGCCTAAAATGCAGGGAGCAAGGGGCTAGTAACCCCTTCTCCTGTACATATTACTAAATGTAAAAGGAGAAACTTTCGTTTTTCCTTTTGGACCACCTCGCCTCAGTGGGATACGGCCAGTGTGTTGAAAGAAGAAAGAAAGAACTACTGTCACTGAATAAGTAAACAAATAAATAATTACTGTAACTAACTAAATACCAATATCGAAAAGTAAATACGTACAGGACGACCTCACTTATACAGCAGGTTAGGTTCTGGGCTACTGATATTCCTCTACGTCCCATCATATCCTCTAGAGGTTCTGTCTCTTATTCTCTTGCTTCTTGGCTGGCCAAAACCTTCACCCACTTTCTTGGTACTTTTTCTCCTGCCCACCTTCATCACTCTCAAGACTTCATCGAAAGTGTTCGCTCTCTCCCGAATTGTAAGATGCTTAGTCTCGACGTTGAGTCCCTCTTCACTAATGTCCCTCTTGATGATGTCCTTAATTTTCTCAGACAGAAGGCCAATGAAGGGTTACTTCATCTCCCTATACCTGCTAATGTCTTTCTTGATTTTACCAGCCTTTGTGTGGACACTAATTCCTTTTCCTTCCAAGGCAAATATTATTCTCAAACCTTCAGTGTTGCTATGGGCTCTCCTCTATTTCCTGTTCTTGCTAATTTCTATATGGAATACTATTGATATGCGCCCTTCACTCTAGTTCCACTATGTAGATGACATCTTTGCTCTTTGGCCTCATGACTCTAGTCTCTTTCAACCATTTTTTGATGCCCTTAATAATCTTGCCCCTTCCATTAAGTTTAAAGTTGAATGGGAATCTAATTCCTTGCTTCCTTTCCTTGACGTTCATGTCCACCGTTCAGATGCAGGCTTTGCTTTTTTCGTGTACCGCAAGCCTATGCACAGTGGCATGTACATTCACTACTTTTCTTATCATGCTTCCTCTGTCATGAAAAGTGTTCTCATCTCCCTCTTTCTCCGTGCTTTCCGCATTTGTGATACTCAGTTCCTTGAATCAGAAATTTGCACTCTTCGTAATTCATTTTCCTGTCTTGCCTACCCTTACCATTTCATAGACTCTGCCTTCTCACATGCTAAACGGACTTTCTTCTCTCCCAAACTCTCTACTCCTGGGAATTCTCTGGTCCTCTGCCTTCCCTATATCTCCAGTCTTTCTAATCTCAACAACTCTCTCTGTTCCTTAGACATCAAACTTACTTTTCGTCAGACAAACACTCTTCACACCTATCTAGTTCATACCTCTCCTCCCTCTATAGATTCTCCAGGTGTCTACTCTATTTCGTGTTCCTCTTGTCCTCTTCAGTACATACTTTGGAGAAACTGGCCATTCTCTTTCTGACAGACTCAGGGAGCACAAAAGTAGTGTTAGGCTTGCCAACACCAACACCGCACTTTCTGCCATGTCAGAGATCACAGTCATCCTATTGACTGGTCTTCTGCTAAAACTGTCTACCCTACATCTAACTTTCACAGTCGCAGTCTGGTTGAATCCTCCCTTATACACAACTTCTCCTATAAATGAATACAAGTTACAGACTAGCTGGCTTCATGCTGGGTAATTATCTTAAGTTTCATCTCCAAAGCAATTGCTTTTGCACCATCATAAATTTTGAAATATCACAAGTCAAATCATCATAAGTCAAGGAGCACCTGTATTTGTAAACAAATCTGAATACATCAGAACTAGGTGTTAAATGTTAATTTGTCATCTCATAAAGGCAGGAAATAACTAATGTGGTGATCAAAGAAAAAATTATTGCCTTGGGTATCTGGTCCATTACTATTATTTTTCCCCCTCTGTGTTCCTGTTCCTACCCTCTGTGGGCCCTTAGCTCCCTTGCAGTGCTCTTAGTCTTTGATTCCAAGCCTAACCTCCATAGTGGGAAAATTTATGGAATCAATAATTGCTGAGGCAGTTCGTAGCCACCTTGAAAAGCATAAATTAATCAACGAATCTCAGCATGGTTTTACAAAGGGGCGTTCCTGCCTTACGAATTTATTAACTTTTTTCACTAAGGTATTTGAGGAGGTAGATCATGGTAATGAATATGATATTGTGTATATGGACTTCAGTAAGGCTTTTGACAAGGTCCCACATCAGAGACTATTGAGGAAAATTAAGGCACATGGAATAGGAGGAGAAATTTTTCCTGGATAGAGGCATGGTTGACAAATAGGCAGCAGAGAGTTTGCATAAATGGGGAGAAATCAGAGTGGGGAAGCGTCACGAGCGGTGTTCCACAGGGGTCAGTGTTGGGCCCCCTGCTGTTCACAATCTACATAAACACATAGATGAGGGCATAAAGAGCGACATCGGCAAGTTTGCCGATGACACCAAAATAGGCCGTCGAATTCATTCTGACGAGGACATTCGAGCACTCCAGGAAGATTTGAATAGACTGATGCAGTGGTCGGAGAGGTGGCAGATGCAGTTTAATATAGACAAATGCAAAGTTCTAAATATTGGACAGGACAATAACCATGCCACATATAAACTAAATAATGTAGATCTTAATATTACGGATTGCGAAAAAGATTTAGGAGTTCTGGTTAGCAGTAATCTGAAACCAAGACAACAGTGCATAAGTGTTCGCAATAAAGCTAATAGAAACCTTGGCTTCATATCAAGAAGCATAAATAATAGGAGTCCTCAGGTTGTTCTTCAACTCTATACATCCTTGGTTAGGCCTCATTTAGATTATGCTGCACAGTTTTGGTCACCGTATTACAGAATGGATATAAATTCTCTGGAAAATGTACAAAGGAGGATGACAAAGTTGATCCCATGTATCAGAAACCTTCCCTATGAGGATAGACTAAGGGCCCTGAATCTGCACTCTCTAGAAAGACGTAGAATTAGGGGGGATATGATTGAGGTGTATAAATGGAAGACAGGAATAAATAAAGGGGATGTAAATAGTGTGCTGAAAATATCTAGCCTAGACAGGACTCGCAGCAATGGTTTTAAGTTGGAAAAAATCAGATTCAGGAAGGATATAGGAAAGTACTGGTTTGGTAATAGAGTGTGGATGAGTGGAACAAACTCCCGAGTACAGTTATAGAGGCCAGAACGTTGTGTAGCTTTAAAAATAGGTTGGATAAATACATGAGTGGATGTGGGTGGGTGTGAGTTGGACCTGATAGCTTGTGCTACCAGGTCGGTTGCCGTGTTCCTCCCTTAAGTCAATGTGACCTGACCTGACTAGGTTGGGTGCATTGGCTTAAGCCGGTAGGAGACTTGGACCTGCCTCGCATGGGCCAGTAGGCCTTCTGCAGTGTTCCTTCGTTCTTATGTTCTTAAAAAGAAAAAAAAAAAAAAGGTTTAATACTCCCGCCGTCTCCCACCGAGGTAGGGTGACCCAAAAAAGTGTAAACACTCTCA